GTGGCTGGAGAGGGAGCGAAAAAATTACCTTTGGAAAATAATGTAAAACTCATGTTTATCACATGAACTTTTATATCTTATATTCAAATTTAGAGAAATATTATCTGTCTCGTCGCTTGTTATGTGTATCTTCTATGCTACCACACGTACAGAGAGCCTGCACTTGTAGGGTTCTTTAGATTTTGTATAGCCGAGGATTTGAAAAAAAAGTAACTATACAAACTTTAAGTCATATTTGAGCTTAACCTGCATTATGCAGGTTAAGCATTTTTGAAAAGCTGCATATGCAGGCTCCCGGTTTGAAGGGGTTAAAAAGTGTCGAGGCTCAGAACTATCGCTGAAGGAAAACACGTTCAACACACAGTTAGCGAAGATACGTATTCGTGTAGAACACTGCATTGGAGCGTTGAAAGGTAGATTCCCGCTACTCAAACGCTTGCGTGCTAGAATCAGAAACGTAGGCGAGCTCAACTCAACCATTTCACTCATTCGCGCAGCCATCATATTACACAGCCTGACGGTCAATGATAAACTTCCTGATACGTGGTTTGATTGCGATGAAGCAGAAGATAATGAGCCCGAAGAACTACCGAGCGGTACCAACGAGTGCCGTAGAGCTTACTTACGCGACTATATTTTCGACAGCGTGCATATAAGCATCAATTAATCAGACTCTGCAGATATTCCTACTCCTTCACTTTCGCTCTGTAGAGGTAATAGTCGATCAATTTCTTCTTGTGGAACACCGCTATCTTGCAGCTGCTTGCGTGAAAGAAGAAGTTGAACCGCAGCTTCTCGCTGTGCGGTCTGAAGCTGCACCATTTTGATTTGAAGGTCGATGTCAGCTTGGGCCTTTTCGCGGTTATTTTTTTCTTCCTTTAGTAGCGGCTCTTTAGACTTGAGTGCGTGTTCGCGTTCACGATAATCCATCATCCTCTCCCGTTTCTCTTCACGAATACGGAGTACATCCGCTTGCTGTTCCAGCAGTCTGTCAGCAGAGTCTACCTTGTGTTTCTTGGTACTAGAATCTGCGTCAATGGCGAGCGGCCTCTTTTCGCCTTTTTGAAGCACAGAGAGGCCAGAGAGAGCAACTCCTCTTCAGCTGCGTCTTGATCATCGGATGTAACCTTGGCACGAGCTGAAGGCCTGTCCATTATCACATCATGCAAGTCGTAGTAGTGTGGGCAGCGCTTCAACAAAGCATCACGAAGGCTCTTCTCGTCCGTAATACCTGCACCAGTTGGTAGACGAAAATCCTCTGCCTGCCGCCACTGTTTCTCCAGGGAGTTAATCTTCTCGCGGACCCCAGGACTGTCTCGATGCTCAATACCAACTGCTTTCAGCTGAGCTACGATCTCCGCTAGCAGCGCTTCCTTCGTTTTGCCGCTCGTTCGATCACTACCTCGCCACTTGTTATAGTTTGCGGGGTTAGTCATCCATTCCAGCACCACTCGCAGAAAGGATTTTTCTCCATCCACCCCATCGGAGTCCCAGAAAATGGGAGCCTTCTTTCCTGACCTTGTCATCCCCCCGACCCGACTGATCGACCTGCTCCGGCACCTGACCCTCTCGCTTCTTAGCCTTCGAAGGCCGAGTCACCTTCTGCTTGGTCTTCGTCTTGAGCTTGTCAGTGGCGACCCAGGTGCCCTGTTAGTCGTATTGCCCTATCTGTTCTCCATAGTGCCCTCCGATCTTCTCCCGGCGATATCTCTTGGAATCCAAGACTTCTACTAAAACAGAAAGCTAGGGTGAGATCTCTTGGATTCCAAGAGAATTTTGGCCAATGAGAGTCGACGGTGCGTCTTTTCAGCTCTTGGAAAGAGCTCTTGTATCCAACTCTGACTACCACTAATATAGGTAGCCTCTAGTTTGTATAGGACCCAAGCTAAGCTTACCTATAAATACAGCAGTCTTCAATCTACTCTTCTAAGTAGCAAAGCGTTCCCTCTGTGGCCGGGAACACGTGAACTAACGTTCACTCGGGTAGTAAATACCCTCAAGCACTTTCTCTGTGCAAGGTGCTGTGGGACCCCGTCACACTTGGTAGCAGTCGTAGTTAATTCTACACCTTCGCGGGTAGATTGAACTACTTGACTCCTCTGTGCGCTCAACGTTTGAGTCGCGATGGACCGAAGTGAGTTTTCTCGCTTGGGCGACTCACAGTACGTGTCTGTTCGGAAGATGGGAGGCATCTTTGGACAATATGTCCTCCGCAGCTTGGCGGTGGTGACGCCTGCCGAGCAACATGAACGTGGCTGCGTTTGAGACCTACGAGCTTGGTCTCATCGCTCACGTCCGCGGGAGTTTACCGTGTACCAGGTGCCCACAAGAGTGACGGGTCACTCTTTATGTAGCCTGAGGTACACTGGTTTGTGCCTCATTACATAACTACTGTTCACTGAGAGTTTGTATACTCTCGGAAGCCGACTTCTTCAAGCGCAAGGTGCTGTGTGACCCCGTCACACTCCCAGTCTGCGGTACGACGCCTGGAACGACTCCCTCATTCCCGGGTACTGAACATAGTACTACCGGTATTTCTGTTTTTTTTGCTGGTACTACCCGCACTTCGGCTCTCAAAACAACCACTTTATTCTTTGAAGTGGCTGTTTCGAGAGCTCGGTACTCACTTTTAAGCACAATGTCTAACGTAATAATGTACCAACAACAATACCGTACAGGATGCTGAAGGCTCGGTTTTCTGTAGGGATACAATAGACGAGTGTTTTATATATTGAAGCATTTCGTGCTCGATTTAAGAAATTGTACACGCATACAAATCAGGTAAAGCAGCCTTTATTACATGATTATCACAAAAACACACATATTTTGTGTCGAGCCCAATTAATAAATAAATCTGTCGTACTACTTGTTTTTGTAATAAATTCACTACTGTACCGGTACATGTTTTGGTTTTATAACAAAACAATTTGCTTACTTGTATGACAGATTATTTGGTCGTAGGTTGGTTTGAAAACTAGTGCATGATTAATGAAATTTCACACCGTTGGTAATAACTGGGATTCTACCTAGAGCCGACGGCGTAACATGTCAAGTCAAGTGTGTCCCTATATTTGTAAAGCTAAGCTTTTCCTTTTCTCGTTTGATCCTTTTGTATATATGTATAGCCGGATAATTAGTTGGAACAAATGATAGGCGGACGAAATAGCACAACCATTTACATAAGGCAAAATCGTAAGTGCTGACATCGTGTAGCTCCCTGATCCTCCGAGTTATTGCTGCAAGACCGACAAATTGTAAGCTGGGAATCAAGATTTGACTCAACCAGAATCGTAAACAGCGATGTCGGCTGTCAACAACCGCAATTATTAGACTCTACGAGCGTCTTGTCTCGATGTACTATAAGGTCATTTAAAACCTGCATATTTTAGTGTTATGATTTAATACTGTAATAAATGTTAAAATAGTACTGTAGTGTGGTACATGGTGTTTCAATAGCCATTCATGCTGATAAATTTCTCCTGCCAAACTACCAATAGCTACATTCGGTCTTTGCTCTTGGGACTCGCTCCGTGCAAGAAGTAGCATTCCGTAATCCCATTCGCTAGCATTTACGTTTTTTTTTTAAAATGGTTTAAAAAGCGGAGCTGGCACAAATTTGGTAGCCTATAATTTTTAGGCGCCTCACTGAGTCACTCAGACCTTCGTATTATTAGTGCTCGGCGCCTCTTAGGCGAGTCAGTCCATAGTGTTCGGCGGTTTGTGTCGTGATCGTGTACAAGGCAGTGCTACATTGAACAACGCTTCACCCACTTCTTTTCTAATGCAACTTAGTCGCCATTACTTCAAGTGACATTCCGAGTCAACTGCTTCAGTAAGACCAAAACCTCTTTTGTGAGCCAGCGTAAGATGCATGACATATTTTTTTAACAAAATGAGAACGAAAATATCTTGATTCTAGTATGGTGTGGCAGATACTGGAAAAATCGTACTTAAGTATCCTATGGGGGAATTGTGGCATACCATAGCGGCGACAAAAGTAGCAGATAGCTATACATGCACCTCAATTGCTCAATTATGTAGACTTCTTCTATCTTTAGCACGTGCAGCACCATCTACGAAAAAGGTTGATCCTATTCGCTTAGGAGTATAGGCGAAGCTGCCATATAAAACTGTTACAAAGATTGGTTCCATTCGGTGCCCCAATTATTGTCGCTTTTATTTTGTCGGGTAAAATATCAATAAAAATCATTTATAACCTTTTTTTGGGGACAGCGCGCTGAAAAATTAGCCGGTCTGATTGGATGGAATTACCTGAATAATATCAATTTGTTGACAGGCAGTCTGAGTGTGCGAAGGTTATAGCCACAACTTTCGCAGTGAGCACAAAACTGTGTCAAAGATTGAGATCTATTGTACATTTCAGGTTGTAAGGGGTAGCTCGGTCAGTAGGGGGCTCTATGACTTTGCCTACCTGCATAAATGATTTTTGCACTATGGCTAAAATAAAGTAAACTGATCTGTTTGTCGTTATCAGGTGAAGCTCGTCTCTAAACCAATACATGTATTGTCGACAGCTGTTTAATAACTTTTGTCACCAAGAGCAAAGTCATGGAGTTCGTGTCAGAATTCAACAGCGGTAATTTACAATTCAGTATAATGGGATTAAAAGAAAGAAGACACTACATGTTTAATAGTATCAATCGTGACCCTTGCTCGCTTTGCAGACGATCAAGTACTGGATTATGGTAATTGCGGGAATAACTGGTCTTTGACCGCCAACCTTGAAGACTGCAGTCTGTGGCAGTGACGGTCCTTGATGGCAAAGCTCAGCCCTGATGCTGCACAAGATAAAGATGATAGCCTCGGAGTACAACTCGACAGCTTTCTGAACCTGCTTCATTCGTGCTGCTCGTATTCCTCGTTCACGAACACCGTGTGGCAGATGCAGCGTGCGTCCTCACTCCTATTTGCTCTTTAAACCTTCCAGCATTTGAGTTCATTTGCCAACTCTCCGTGTCTTCGTCAACTAGTGCTTCAAAATGCTGCCTTGTCGTCTTCTTGCCTCACTCGCGGCAGCTTCCTTGGTTGCAATGACCTCCGCGGCCACGGACTTCGGCTACACCACAAACGCCGATAAATACGTTATCAGCACGGGAGCGGGTTTGACCATTTCCATGAGGCAGTCGACGTGCGATATCGTGTCCATTAACTACAACGACAAGGAGCTGCAGTACAAGTCCATGGGTACGCACGTGAACTCGGGTTTGGGCTCGGGGACAACATCGACTATCGAAGCTTTGAATGACGACAAGAAGACGATCCACGTCAACTGCAAGAAGACTGGACTGGAGCAATCCTACTTCTTCCGTCCCAGCGAGAACGTAGTGTACATGGGTACATACCACTCGAAAGACCTGGTGCTGCCGGAACTGCGCTTCCTTGCTCGCTTGGACAAGGCCGTGATGAACCAGGGTATCCTCGAAGCTACTGTCGAGTCTGGTATGACTGCAATTGAGGCCACCGATGTCATGCAAAACGGTGAAGGGATCACCCGTTCGAAATACTACTCGGCTGTACCATTCATTGACGATGCTGTCCACGGTGTCAACAGCACCGCTGCTGGCGTCTACCTGGTGATTTCCGAGCACGGATACGAGACGTCGAGTGGCGGTCCGTTCTTCCGCGACATCAACAACAAACTCGACGTGTCTAACGAGCTCACGTTCTACATGAATTCGGACCACACGCGTATCGAAGAGTACCGCTACGGGTTCCACGGTCCGTACGCGCTTGCGCTCACAAGCGGTGCTGCTCCGTCACCTTCGTCACTTGACTTCTCCTTCTTTCAAGACCAGA